TAATTTGCCCACTTTTCAAAAGGTGCTTAATGGGTTAAGAAAATTTTTGTGTCATTTAAACGGAATTGAAGTGCTCTTTCCAAAGGTGCCAAAATGTTTATATTATAAGTTCAAAATATGAGTACAGTTAACATTCAAATTTGTGAAAATACTTTTGACTAGGGTTGTATATATTTAGAGGAAAACAAATATAGAAACTTACTCATTGTGGATAAATATTAAATTAAATAAATATTAATTAATATATATATGGAATTAGTGCACTTACAAATATTTATGGGTAATATATATTTTGGAACATCGCGCCTTTCGTGTAACTATTATAAAACTCTTAACAGACAAATAAAAACCATAAGCATAAGGAGGGAATGAAAGAAGCGGCACTCGGTCATCCAGGTGAACTGTACTGCGGGAACTTTTCACTGAGCTTCTTATTACACATGCACGTTTGTTGTGGTGGCTGATTTTGTTTTGGGTTGAAAACCCAAGTTCTGTTACTGATAATTATTTGTTTTAATTTATTTTATTGTTAGCGTTGCGGCCTTTGTTGTAGTTTTTCATTGCGGTGGTTGATAATAATTTGGTTTAATTCATTTTCTTGTTCTGCACTTAATCCCGATTTCTTTTGGGCCAGTTAGAGGCGGCGGCTACGATCCTCTCTAGTTCGTGTCCATGATCCCGACGGCGTTGTACTGTTTTCTTGTACATTCGGAGTCCTCGGAGGACTATAAGGAGCACTAACAACCCGGCAATTAGACACAAGACATTAAAGACTTTCAGGATTTCGTCCTTGTGGTCTATCACTTCAAGAATGTTTATAACGTTGGCAGTATTGCCTTCTGCTTTTGAAACTTTGGACCCCATTTTTTTTATCTTTGGTTCTTAAACGGGATCTCATGTTCACTGTTTTGAACTTTCCGTCGAACGGATTATTTTGTTCTTTGCGCTCGATTGGTATTATTGCCGGCCGTATCCGAGAATGTGACTCCCTTCTCCGTGGAGTTTTAGTTCTTTTCTACAGTAGCTGAGCTTTTCTTTTTGCTTCCGGGTTATTATTTTCGTACCTAAGTGTTCCCATCTAGGTACCCATTTACCCTTTCTCTAGCTAACTGGCCCACTTTGGATTTAGCTGGCGTCAGCTCATATCAGTCTTTCGTTGCTTTACTGACCGCTATATTTTTCCATTGAATTGCCCAATGGGTGCATTATATTGCCTTGTGCAAATTTGGCCTTTCTTTCTTCTTTTGCAACTTTAGAGACTGTGGCTTCTGCTGCCCCCCTTTTTGCTCGCTTCCCGCCATAACCGGCGCTCATAACAAGATTTTAAAATGCACATTTAACATTTGCTTAAGAGTTAACAGATTAATAATTTATAAAAATAGTTGTTATATTACTAATTAAAAATTGTGTTCTGAGCGTGATATGAACCTCGTACCCCCGAGCCCAAAATAGTACCAGAACCTAGCATTACAACATTACAACAATATTTTCTTTCGCGGCAGAACGCTTTTTGTAAGTTCAAACAAGTTTAAACGCAAAAGAAAAAAACCCGCGAAAGATTTACTCTTGAAAACGATAGCGCTTAGTGTTGAAAACGGGAACGCCTTTGCTTGAATCCGAGAATTATTCTTCTTGAAACCAAGAACACTTTTACTGAAATTGAGAATACTTATTTTAAAAATAGTGCTCTCAAACCTAAAACACGTCTTCTTGATTTTAGTAAAACCGTTCTTGGCTCACTTTTGAGCACGGAAATACTGAAATCAAGAACGTTGAGAACGGTTTTTATTCTCGGTGTGGACTTATTGAAAGTTAAAAATAACTGTTTTAAATATTTTTGTTGTTGTTTTTACAAAAAATAACTAAACGTACAAGTTCAAACAGTGAACAATTTAATTACAAACATTTCTGTAAAAGCAGCATGATGATCGAAGCATTACTTTTTAGGTACACGATCCGCAGCAGAGGAAAACATGGTTTCGAGAAAAACGCATTAAAAGTAATCAAATAAAAACACCTCTTAACGAGGTAAAAAACTAGTGACGATCGCGCCTTCAACATACAAAAGTTCTGATATCAACATTTGTGACGAAAAATTATTACACTCGTCATTAAATAGACTTTCTAATATTTTCTCATTCGGCCCGCCCTAGAAAACTATTCCAGCCTTTTTCCCTTTACAGGCATTTTCTATTGCAGCGTGCCGAATGAGAAAATATTAGAAAGTGTATTTAATGACGAGTGTAATAATTTTTCGTCACAAATGTTGATATCAGAACTTTTGTATGTTGAAGGTGCGATCGTCACTAGTTTTTTACCTCGTTAAGAGGTGTTTTTATTTGATCTGACTGAAATTATAATACCCTCTGCAAGGGTATAATAATTGAATTTTTTTCCTATATGAATGTATCTTTCCGCTTTTGACTGTTAGAAATTTGCCGCCCCTGAAAATTTGCCGCCCTAGGCAGCTGCCTATATTGCCTATATGGCAAGTCCACCACTGCACCTTAACCCCGCGGATAACGCCAACCCTTGGCTCAACGGCCCGGAGTTTCTGCTGCTTCAGCCATCTCAGTGGCCAAACACTTCGAAGCGCCCTTTGCGAGGTGGAATTCATCGTCAACGTGTCACTCGATTCAAAAGACGACTATGCATTAACGCCGAATCACCTCCTACTAGGATCAGCGAGTGGCCACAAGCCAGTTTTCGAATCGACAAACAGTGTGCGGCATATGTGGCAGTCTACCCAACTATTTGCTGACCAATTCTGGAGACCCTGGGTCCGCGGATACGTCCCATATCTAGCTCGAAGAGGAAAATGGTTTATAAAGCGACCACCCATAACCATGGGCGACGTCGTCCTTATCGTTGACGAGAACCTGCCACGAAACAGTTGGCCCAAAGGCATCATTGAAGAAACAACTTTGGCGAAGGACGGCCAGGTTAGGCAGGTAACCGTAAGGACTTCCAAGGGAAGGCTTCAAAGTATATATATTCTTGATCAGCATCAATAGCCGAGTCCATCTAGCCATGTCCGTCTGTCCGTCTGTCCGTTTCTATGCGAACTAGTCCCTCAGTTTTAAAGCTATCGCGATGAAACTTTCCCAAAAGTCTTCTTTCTATTGCAAGTAGTACATATGTCGGAACTAGCCGGATCGGACCACTATATCTTATGGCTTCCATAGGAATAATCAAAAAAATAATACAAAAACTATTGTACCTTTGTAGAAAGTAGGCGTTTTGATTTTTGACAATGTAAAAACAACATTTTAAGTAGACATACCTAAAAGGTTATATAAACTTCGGCTGGCCGAAGTTAACTTCCTTTCCTGTTTTTTATTTCTCAAATTGGTAAAATAACTCTTTAAGAATGTGTCACGAAGAAACTCGACCTATTTTGAAACTTATACCAAGATGTCGACACCCACCTTCCTTGCGCAGTAGATATATTTTATTACTTTTAATGCGTTTTTCTCGAAACCATGTTTTCCTCTGCTGCGGATCGTGTACCTCAAAAGTAATCATTCGATCATCATGCTGCTGTTACGGAAATGTTTGTAATTATATTACTCACTGTTTGAACTTGAAAACAGCAACAAAAATATTTAAAAAGTTATTTTTAACTTTGAATACGTCCACACCGAGAATAAAACCCGAACTCAACGTTCTTGATTTCAGTATTTCCTCAAAAGTGAGCCAAGAACGGTTTTACTAAAATCAAGAAGACGTGTTCTAGGTTTGAGAGCACTACTTTTAAAATAAGTATTCTCAATTTCAGTAAAAGTGTTCTTGGTTTCAAGAAGAATAATTCTCGGATTCAAGCATAGGCGTTCCCGTTTTCAACACTAAGCGCTATCGTTTTCAAGAGTAAATCTTTCGCGGTTTTCTTTCTTTTGCGTTTAAACTTGTTTAAACTTACAAAAAGCGTTCTGCCGCGAAAGAAAATATTGTTGTAATGTTGTAATGCTAGGTTCTGGTACTATTTTGGGCCAAACACTTCGAAGCGCCCTTTGCGAGGTGGAATTCATCGTCAACGTGTCACTCGATTCAAAAGACGACGATGCTTTAACGCCGAATCACCTCCTACTAGGATCAGCGAGTGGCCACAAGCCAGTTTTCGAATCGACAAACAGCGTGCGGCATATGTGGCAGTCTACCCAACTATTTGCTGACCAATTCTGGAGTCCCTGGGTCCGCGGATACGTCCCATATCTAGCTCGAAGAGGAAAATGGTTTATAAAGCGACCACCCATAACCATTGGCGACGTCGTCCTTATCGTTGCCACGAAACAGTTGGCTTAAAGGCATCATTGAAGAAACATCTTTGGCGAAGGACGGCCAGGTTAGGCAGGTAACCGTAAGGACTTCCAAGGGAAGGCTTCAAAGTCCCGTAGCCAAGATCGCAGTGCTGGACGTTGGCACTGATGAGGGTAAACACGCTCACAAAAAGAGCAGTTTACGGGGGGAGAATGTTGCCGGCGAAAACTAATAAGCCCGATTAAAGGGTATTCCATCCAAATCAGCTGCATAACAGAACCGTTACTTGCGGAGCGTTGGTGTATTCGAGGCCGCGACGTACAGCCATGCAGATCGACAGTTTACTGCTGATGTTCGGAGACGACGTTTAAAAGCGCACCAAATAGTGAAAATAAAGTAAATCATTGAACATAAACCTCGTGTATTCATTTGGGCGCTGCTAAAAGCGTATTCGCAGCCAGGCAACTCAACGATTATTAAATTATTTTTTCTATATGTGTCTTTCCGCTTAAGTAAAACTGACATCAAAATAGAGGGATAAGTGTATTTATATTAACTAGTGTATTTTCAAACCTTCGTCGAACATTCAAAAAACTTTTTTCTTCTATTATACACAGGATTTCTTTGAGAAAAAATCAGAACATGCTACATTTCGTCGCATGTCAATAATGCGCGCAGTCTAAATTCACTATTAACAAAAGTTTATGCACTAAGTATGTTCTTTATATTTTATTTAAAAAAATTCACTCCTTAGTGACATGCTTTTGGGAAAACGTTATGCGTTGCCAATTTTGAAAGTTTGTCTTCCGCTGGACATTCTTTGCCTTTATGTGCATAATGTAGTTTTCCATTAGCTGGCTGGGTGTGTTTTGCTGGAAGTTTAGCGTTGGCGTGGTCATGTCTCTGTCCATCTGTCCTCGGGCCCGGAACCGCCGTCGCAACCCATCTAGTCCAAGGGCTGGTACCTCAATACACAAAAAGTAGGCCAACTCCATGCCACTTATTAAGGAGCAGCCAAGAAACAGTCCGGCAATTCCACCAAAGCTAACTGAAAGAATTTCGAATATTTATTCATTGAGTGATAAAACGAAATTAGGTTTTTATAGGCGTTTTTATAAGTTCTCTTAAATTTTACAACATTTTTATACTCATTACTCGTAGAGTAAAAGGGTATATTGAATTCGTTCAAAAGTATGTAACAGTTAGAAGGAATCATTTCCAACCCTATTGATCAGGGTCACTAGCCGAGTCGATATAGCCATGTCCGTCTGTCCGTCTGTCTGTCTGTCTGTCCGTATAAACGCTGAGATCTCGGAAACTATAAAAGCTAGAAGATTGACATTTTGCATGCAGATTCTAGAAGTTCCTACGCAGCGCAAGTTTGTTTCAAAAGGGCGCCACGCCCCCTCTAACGCCCACAATTACTTATATACGATTTTAAAAATTTCGATGTTTCGGAAAAGTAAAATTGCAGTTTTATTGTGTTTATCAATACCTATCGAAATGTAGAAGAAATTTTTTAAATCCGACCATTCGTTAAAAAGTTACGGCGGATCAAAGTTTTTATCTCCATCTTCCTCTTACTCCCTTTAGCTGAGTAACGGGTATCTGATAGTCGGGGCACCCGACTCTACTCTCTACATTCATATAATAAATCGGCTTTTTTCAAGAAATTTGCCATTGAATTATAAAAATCGGTAGCTTAAGGCCACAGCAGCTATAGCTACTATTAAACACCAAGGTTATAGGCAATTTATAATTCCCTATTTAACCTGACAATAAATAAATAAATAAATAAATTAAATATAAAAATCGTCTATGAATTTCATCCAACGGCAACTCGTCATTAATTTACGAAAATTACTTTCTTGAATTAATGGTAAGCTTTTTCAAAACCATCACCAATTTTTTATAACTTAAAAATACCTAAAATTAGAAAGAATGCGCTTGAAAAAAAATATTTTTATTTATAAATTTTTTTGTTTTTTTTTCCATTGAAGGCGTAGGCGCCCACTAAGGTCCGACATGTCCCCCCCACAGGCCCCAAACATCCATAACCTCGATGGATGCTATATTTTTGCCCTGTGTTTTTAAAAGTTTGTTTTGTCCGGAAAGTTGGCCAATTTCAGCATTTTTCGAACTTTGAGGTCCTTTTGCTTTTTGGAAAACGCAGTTTAACTTGGGAATTCGCAACGAATCCAAAAATATAGCATCCATCGAGGTAAATTTTTGATGCTGCATAGTGTTATTTTGGACGTTGATGAACTATGGTCAGTGCACCCAAGTGGCCTGAAGATCTTTGACCTTCAATTCCTGCGCCTCCACGCCTCCCTGAGCGACCAGATCCTGGTGGTCTGTCTGCTGGTTTGCTTTTGCCTCTGCATGCGTCCGCCATATACCACATATTCTCCTGCAAATCGGAGGAGCACTATGAGCTAGATTATTTTATGGGGCGCGCTTTATCCGCTAAAAACTAATATTTAGTTGTAGCTGTTGACCGATATGATTCATTTATGTGTAACTTACCGATTAGTTAGGGTTTCGTGTTATGTTAGTCAATCCAAAGAGTTGGCTTCGCACGAGCGGAGTCTTGAGCTGAAGCTGTGTTAGTCTTGTTGACTCGATTTTTACAAATACTTTAAATTCAAATATAATATAAATATCTCCCTCGCCGAGGGTTTGCAACGCAGTTTCTTGATCAGCATCATCGTCCGTCTGTCTGTCGGTTTCTACGCAAACTAGTCTCTCAGTTTTTAAGCTATCGGCTTAAAACATTCCCAAAATGTTTTTTTATTGCAGGTAGTATATAAGTCGGAACCGACCGGATCGGACAACTATATCTTATAGCTCCCATAGGAACGATCGGAAAAAAATCGTTAAAAAATTCTAGCTTCGGTGTTTTTTGAAACATTAGAGTAGAACTCTTGGGGATATATTTTTTTTAAATATTTCTGAATTTCAAATTAAATATTTAAAAAACCGGACGACTTTATCATATAGCTGCCATAGGAACGATCGGAAAATTAATGAGAAAGTAATGAGAAATAAATTTTAGCTTTTTTGGTATTTATTGTATTCTCTTCTACTCAAGGACATGACTCTTTTTAAATATTTCCGAATTTCAATTTTAATTTTATCAAAATCGGATGACTATATCATATAGGAACGATCGAAAAATTAATGGGAAATTAAGTAGAAACAAATTATAGCTCCGTTGGTTTTCCTTGTATTTTCTACTACTGTAGGATATGATTTTTTTTAATATTTCCGAATTTTAAATTAAATTTAACAAAAATCGGACGACTTATTTAGCTGCCATAGGGAAGGATAGAAAAAATAATGTCAAAATAATACGATAATAATTTAACATTTTTGCGATTTGTAAGTTAATAGGAATGATCTGCAAGGGTATATAAGCTTCGGCTGGCTAAAACTAGCTTCCTTTCTTGTTTGATGAAAAATATCTCAGTAGCCTCGGCTTTGAAACATTTGTATGGACGCGAAAAAAGATAAAAAACGTTTGGGCGGAACATAATCAATTTACCATTCTAAGCCATATTAGCCAAGAAAATATATGCCTAAAACCACGTTTGATCCTCCGCATTTGCAAAAGAGAAATACTGGTATTTCATTTTATTTTTGAGTAGCCGTTACTAATATACAAATTTTGTATTACAAAATAACAGTATTGAAAAAGAGTCTTTAAAGAGGACAAAACATTTTTAACAAAAGGAAAAATTTAAAATTGACAAATATTTCACGGCTACCATGATATTTTTCTTAAAAGTAAAACGAAATACCAGTAGTTTCTCTTACAAAAGCAGAGGGTCTAACGTGGTTTATGACATATAGTTTCTTGGGCAATATGGCTTAGAAATGCCCAGAGATTGTTTTACGCCCAAATGATTTTTTATTTTTTTCAGGTCTATTCCAGTGTATAAAATTTAGGGCTACTGTGATATTTTTCATCAAATAATGGGTTTTTTTCTTTTGCAAATGCGGAGGGTCTTATTTTTAAGATTTAGTTTATCTTGCAATATTGCTTAGAATTCTTCCTAGATTGCGTTCCCCCTACGATTTATCGCTTTTTTTGACCCATAGAAATCGACCCAGTCTAATATGTAGGCTTATATGCATATCAAATAAAAACACCTCTTAACGAGGTAAAAAACTAGTGACGATCGCACCTTCAACATACAAAAGTTCTGATATCAACATTTGTGACGAAAAATTATTACACTCGTCATTAAATCAAATAAAAACACCTCTTAACGAGTTAAAAAAGTAGTGACGACCGCACCTTCAACATACAAAAGTTCTGATATCAACATTTGTGACGAAAAATTATTACACTCGTCATTAAATAGACTTTCTAATCTTTTCTCATTCGGCCCGCCCTAGCAAACTATTCCAGCCTCTTTCCCTTTACAGGCATTTTCTATTGCAGCGTGACGAATGAGTAAAGATTAGAAAGTCTATTTAATGACGAGTGTAATAATTTTTCGTCACAAATGTTGATATAAGAACTTTTGTATGTTGAAGGTGCGGTCGTCACTACTTTTTTAACTTGTTAAGAGGTGTTTTTATTTGATATCAGAAGTTTTTGTTTGTTTACATTTGCTTTCATAGGAGCTAATATATACATTTAAATTTAAATTGGTCAATTATAATTTTTAAACTATTGTATTTTAACAAATTAAGTTAAAAAGGCGTTGAAGTATTTCAAAGTACCTTTTAAACGAGGTATAGCACATGTCTGTACCTTTAGTAGTGTAGAACTTACAAACTAACGAAATTTAGCTAATTTTAGCTTTTTCCCGCTAAAGTAGCGGTTTTTTCCAAAAGTCGTAGAACAAAAGATTCCTATATGGAACTCTTAAGTGCAAATTTACTGATTCCATGACCCTAAAATACAGTTCGGATACCCTCACACAAAATTCAATACTCAGGGAGCGTTAGTTGTTCGAGCTGGCAAAAGTGGCTATTTTCGTATAAAAAAACCTTTTAAACGTGACTTTTTACAGTAATGTGTTGTATACCAAAATTTAAGGAATTTAAGGGCTATACAGTTTAAAGTTTTAAAGAAAATCGTTAGAGCCGTTTTTGAGAAAAATAACAAAAAGCTAAAAAGAAAGTTTTAAAAAATTGTCTTTTGTCAATATTTTTTTAACTATTACATTTACACAAATTGCATATAGAAGGCGTTTATAGCATTTAAAAATACCTTCCAAACGAGATGCAGCACAAGTCTGTAGCTTTAGTAGTATAGAAGTTACGGCTTTCCGAATTTTAGCTATTTATAGCTGTTTTCCCGCTAAACTAGCGAGTTTTTCCAAAAGTGGTAGAACAAAAGTTTTTTATATCGATGTGATGAACGTCATAACAAATTTTCAGAACTTAAAAAACATATTTTGGACAAACTGACAAACAGAATTAAATTTTCATTTTGGGAAGAAGAAGAAAATCTTATTTTGGCTATAACTTTTGAACGGAGAGTCGGATTTTGACAAATGACCCCTCATTCGACGGGTATTTTCAAAAGGAATACAACTAAAGCATTGCGAGGGGGCAATTATCCCCACCGGCCCCAACAGCTCCAAATTTCGAAATTTTCACTTTTTCACTTTCACCGCTCTCTCTCCCAAGCCAATTGATTTTCTTGAGGTCTTGGTATGCAATCCTTTAAGTTTTTGCAATACCTTTCGATTGGTGTATTACTCATTACGATCGGACTATCACAGCAGATTTTCAATTTTGCGGCTATATAATAGTAGTCGCCTTCGCACACTCTCCTGGTGCGCTTCGTCACTACATGGTCTGCCGTCCATAGTGATACACTTTCTAATCTTTTCTCATTCGGCCCGCCCTAGCAAACTATTCCAGCCTCTTTCCCTTTACAGGCATTTTCTATTGCAGCGTGACGAATGAGTAAAGATTAGAAAGTCTATTTAATGACGAGTGTAATAATTTTTCGTCACAAATGTTGATATAAGAACTTTTGTATGTTGAAGGTGCGGTCGTCACTACTTTTTTAACTTGTTAAGAGGT